TTGGTTTTTTACAAATTTGCCCTTGTTTTGTTTTTTCTTACGGATTTTTTTTTAAACATGATTAATTGTGTCCAGGTTAGTTTGGTTGAACTGTCAAAGACATCACCATCTTTACCAGAAATCCTAAGTGGAATAGGGAGCAGTGTAATTGGAATGGACATGGCATTAAAGCAACTGATGGATGGGTTGACATTGAGTGATGGAGTGCAAGCGCGTATGGATGGAATCATGTTTGAGAGATCGGAAGGATCTCCATTTGCAAACCCTATTTTCAATTTGCTCAAAGACTACTTGAGTTCTCTTTGATTATATCCACATTCACAAGTCATTGAATGAGGTAAGTAGATCATATTGGATGTAATATTGTTGTACAAGTTTCTAAATACATGTCTTATTTTTTTAATAAATTGTAAAGTTAATCATCACCGCAGTTTTTCTCCTTTTGATTAATGAAAAAAATCTATATTCACACCTCAAGATGCCGATAATAAATGTAGTTACTTCACTGGTGAGTAGTGACGCATCAAATTTTGAAACCGACATGGTAAAAACTTTAGGTTATTTAGTACGGTTAAATTTATTAGTTTCTGATTAAAAAAAATGCATTTTTAGGTATTCAATTTTTGTCATCAATTAATAGACTTGGTTCAAAAGATAGGTTGCGGACTTGTTTATGTTATTGTAATAAAAAGATATACTACTAGCATAAATATTTTTCCAGTGTGATCATGGTGGTATTTACAAAAGTAAAAAAATATCCACAGAAAATATTGGTAGCAAAAGAATAATTTTTTCATTCAAATTGAAATGAAAGTATGTAGATGTTTGTTGGTCCTTAAAATCATGTATAATGATCGAGTGAATGCATAGATTTCACTAAATTGACCACACAATAAGTTTAATAAGTAACCATTGAGACATCTCATGATACGTTTGGTTTCCTCACACCGGATACGGTAAAACTTCTTAAGAGAGTACAGCGGATCATGCATAGTAATATCATATCACGTGTGTATATATATATATATATATATATATATATATATATATATATATATATATATGTGTGTGTGTGTGTGTGTGTGTGTGTGTGTGTATAGTCTTCAAATTAATTGGTTTTACCACACAAAAAGATTTAGCGGCACAGCTTGTTGCTCGTTTGTCATCTTACTCGTTGTACGATTATAACTAACTAAATTTTATTCAGGTCTAATGATTAATATAAATAAATTTATGTAGGGGCATTAACATTTTACAACTTATTTTGGATCTTCAACATTTCTATTTTTAACAAGTTAATTTTACATCATGACATATGTAATTTAGATAAGCTTCTTGTTTAATTATTTTTGTGTATTTGCAAGAACCTTCGACAAAAGTTTTGTGTTTTTCATATGGGTTGATCCACCACTGTGAAATAAATAAATTGAAGATGCCAAATTTGAGTCACGTATGTACTTAAAGAACAATAGTGAATGTCAAGAGCAAATTGACTCAAGAAGAAGAAAATGGTCAATTTATTAATGTTTATTGTTGTTTTGCTCATAGCTATTGTATTTATCCGGAATTTAGTGGTAATTAAATTATATTAGATAATGTCATGTAATGGTAATTAAGTTGTGTTAGGTAATGGCCTTTGTAGTTTTGGAGAGGACCTGGTTACTAACCTCCAGTCCTCTACTTCCTTATAAACATTACCATCCTTATTTTTGTTAACACCCTCATTTATATCTTCATCACCTCCAATGCTTCGACCTCCATTTCCTCATCATTGTTAGCACCTTCATGAACATCATCCATACTTATACCTTCATAAGAATTTACACCGTCATCAACATTTAGTCATTTATCATCATGGACATCATGTATAAATTATAATGTCTATCCATTGGCACCAACTACCTCGAATTTCCCACCTCCTTTCACATAAAGTTTCCTTCTACCAATTAGTTGCATTTTCTAGTTTTTCCATCATGATTGACAATAACTTGAACCTTACATGTACTACCATGGTTTGATCTAAGCATTTCATGGGCATAGTTCCACACTTTGGCGTGGTGATGGCTTAATTTTACCTTTTATGGTTTTCCTACCTATTTTTTTAGCCATATGACATTGACTTCTAGACACTTCATAGTTGACCTTATGCAGTTATGCTTGATGTTATCTATCATCTCCTTTAAGGTAACTTTGGACCCACTGATAAACATTTTCTAGCCATATAGCATTGACCTCTAGACACTTCATAGTTGACCTTATGCTTAATGTTAGCCATCATCTCCTTTAAGGTAACTTTAGACCCAATAACAAGCCGTCTTATTGTATTTTTATTGAACACTGTAAATTGATTATTATAAGTTATTTGCAAGAATTTGAGAAATTATTTATTTTCATGAATATATGCAAAATTTAATTGTTTTTATTAAAAAAGGCCTATTTTTTAATTGAGGAAATATCGTCAACTAGAAAGAGCAGGAAAAAAAAAAAAAAAAAAAAAAAGGCGAGCCTTTCACCATGGCTATGATGTCATCGTCACCACCACTACACGTCGGAGACCGCCATCCACCTCCGCCTCTACTTCACTCGACCAGCACCAACGTTCAACCGGTCGCAAATTGTGAGCTTCCTCGCCGACAACACTCCAACCGTTTGTCTCAAAAGATCGATCGTCTCTGCCAATTGAAAAACCGCACCGGAGCTCTGACTTTGCTCCACGACTCGCCTTCTGAGCTTACAGAAACCGCCAAAGCAACCGGTATTCTATTGCAGGCATGCGGTGGCGACAAAGACATCGAAACCGGCCGGAAAGTCCACCAACTGGTTTGGTCATCGCCGCACTTGAGAAACAACTCAATCCTCAACACTCAAATTATCACGATGTACTCCGTTTGTGGATCTCCCTCCGATTTACGAATCGTTTTCGAACAATTAGAGAACAAGAACTTATATCAATGGAACGCAATCATCAACGGATACACTAGAAACGATCTCTGTGATGATGCGATTCTTGTCTTTTCCCAGTTTTTGCAAACAGAGCATATACCTGATAATTTCACCTTGCCTTGCGTGATTAAAGCTTGTGTCGGAGCTCCGAATTTGATATGTGGTCAGGTGGTTCACGGTATAGCCGTGAAGACAGGTTTGATCTCAGATGTCTTTGTGGGTAATGCTTTGGTTGCAATGTATGACAAGTTTGGATTTGTAGATGATGCAGTCAAGGTGTTCGACTTTATGCCTGAAAGAAACTTGGTCACATGGAATTCATTGATTTCAGTATTCTCAAACAACGGATTTTCTCAAAAAAGTATCCATCTGTTCATGGAGTTTCTGGTTGCCGGAGAAAGTTTGACACCTGACGTTGCTACATTAGTAACTTTGCTACCAGTTTGTGCTTCTGAAAGAGACATTTTGTTAGGAAAAACCATCCACTCTTTGGCTGTGAAATTGGGATTGTATCATGATTTAACGATGCAAAATGCATTGATGGACATGTATTTGAAAAACGGATACATGTTAGAAGCCCGTATCATTCTTGATAAGATAAAAAACAAGAATGTGGTTTCTTGGAATTCGATTATTGGGGGTTGTTCAAAAGAAGGTGAAGTTGGACATACATTTGAACTTCTTCGCAAGATGCAAATGGAAAAAATAAAACCCGATCAGGTAACCATTCTAAACGTCTTAAAAGTTTGCTTACATCATTCACATCTCTTAAAGGTAAAGGAACTTCATGGGTATTCAATTCGACATGGCATTGAATCTAACGAATTGGTGGCAAATGCTTTCATTACAGCTTACACAAAACATACGTCATCATATTATTTGGGTGAAAATACTTTTAACCTCATGAAAAACATAACAGTAAGTTCTTGGAATACACTTATCAGTGGCTCTGTGCGAAATGGTGATCCTTTAAAAGCAATAGATTTATATATTAAAATGACATCTTTTGGGATTCAGCCTGATTTGTACAGCATCAGTAGCTTGCTTTTAGCTTTTCAAGACCTCAAGTTGCTTAACTATGGTAAACAAACTCATGGGTTTGTGGTTAGAAAGGGGTTAGAAACCGATTCACATATCGGTAATTCATTAATTTCTTTTTACATTCAATGTGAGAAACCAATGTCTGCAAGGTTCGTGTTTGATAGATTGGTGAATAAAAATTTAGTGTCATGGAATTCAATTATCACTGGTTACTCACAGAATAAACAACCAAACGAAGCATTAAATATCTTCCGAAAAATGGTGTTTAGTGGGACCCAACCGTATGAGATTGCAACCACAGGTGTGTTAAGCGCTTGTTCACAGTTGTCTGCTCTAAAGCTAGGAAAATCGATCCATTCTTTTGCTTTAAAGAAAAACCTCACGAGGGACGTTTTCGTAATATCTTCAATCATAGACATGTATGCGAAAACGGGCAGCATAAAAGCTGCCCGGAATGCTTTCGAACAGTCAGATAAAAACCATGTTGGGCTCTGGACAGTTCTGATTGCGGGCTATGCGATTCACGGGCAGGGAAACGAATCTATAAAGCTGTTCATGGAAATGAAAAGGTTTGGAATGAAACCTGATCATTTCACCTTCATTGCCATTTTAATGGCATGTAACCATGGTGGATTAGTCAAAGAAGGTCTTGAATTCTACAATGAGATGGATACTGTTCATGGAGTCAAGCCAAAAATCGAGCATTATGCATGTTTAATCGACATGCTTGGTCGTGCAGGGCGTTTTGATGATGCTATGATTGTTATTGCTAAAATGCCTGAAGAACCTGATGCTAGAATTTGGAGTTCATTGCTTAGTTCATGTAGAATTCATGGTAATATGGAGTTGGGAAAAGAAGTTTCTGAAAAGTTGTTAAAACTTGAGCCAAGTAAACCAGAAAACTATGTGTTGTCATCGAACCTTTTTGCAAGTTTAGAGAAGTGGGATGATGTTAGAATGATTAGGGAAAAGATGAAGAAGATTGGGGTGAAGAAAGAAGTTGGTTGTAGTTGGATTGAAGTTGAAGGGAAAGTATATAACTTCCTTGCTGGAGATAATGGAGCTGAAGAAATGTAAACTCAAAAGTAACAAACTTTGCATGTTTTTATTGGAGAAAAGAAATCATATATAGATAGATTTAAACATTGAGGAATCACTTAAATCATCATCCTAAATGTATTGATGCTAAAACTTCAAAACCATACTAACCTTGTCATGTTTCAGAGTTAACTAACTAGCAACCCTCTCTGCTTTCCTGCTTTCATAATCAGGATCATCAGTAGGCAGCTCATGGCGACAAACTGGACATGTATTTCGTATACATAACCAAGGAATGATGCAATCTTCGTGGTAATGATGAATACAAGGAAGCTGTTTTGCCTTTTCCCCAACACCAATTTCATCCTTGCAAACAGCACAAAGTGTGTTGTTTTTTTCAACATGTTCAAGAGTCATAACCACAAATGGAAGATTTTCAACTGCCTTTTTGGAAGCAGGTGGTTGAACTAAACCTGAGTCACCGTTATCTGCAAACTGCCCGAATAACATCTCGTGTTCTGCATCATTGTAGTCTTCAAACTGACCTTCTAAATCTGGATTTGCTTCAAGATTGTGAACATTCAAGAAAACCTCCCACTCATTGTAGTTATTGGCCTCTGTGGTAGTGGGATTTGCTTCGTGATTATGAGAATTCAGGAATAATTCCCACTCGAGATCATCTACTGTGGTGTTGTTGTCAGCCTCTGCGTCCAGAAACATGGTCAAAACTTCCCTTTCGTTGACTCCACTGTCTACTTCCTCCCACTCAAAATGTTGTTGTGCAGGTATGTCCCATCTTGAATGATCATCGTCTTCTAGCTGAAAAGCATCCCAACATAGCCTAAGACTTGCTTCATCATCACCGAAATCATCGTCCACACCAATAATCTCGTTTACATGGTCCTCATCGGAATCAGTCGCACTTAATCCACTCATGAAATATGTTGGATCTCTCGATTCAGATCGAGCGCCACTGCTGCTGGTCCTCCTCGACACGAAGAACTCATCACCACAATCAGCAACCATAAATCCAGAATTGTCATCACCTTCGTCGTTACAATTACGAACTTCTACGGGAAACCCTAACCCTAATCCTGACTCAAAATCCATCTCCAAATTGTGTGAATTGATATCCTCATTCCAATCACTAACTCTAACAATACGATCAGAATCACCCAAATCGGTGTCTAACATTACACGCGACGAAGAATGCGATCGCTCAACGCGATGATGGAACATATCGATTACGAAATTTACCTCGTTTTCGAGATCGAATGGACTAGAAGCATTGTTTCCGTTTAAAACGCTGATCGGATTCCGATCGGAGCGGCGCCTTTGTCGGCAAAGGAAATATTCTGAGGAAGGAAAGTCGAGATCTGAAGGTGAAACGTCGAATCCGTCGAGATCTTGAGACCAGTCATGGCTGCGAGGAGAAAGTGAGTTTAGAAGGTCGTCATTTTCGTTATCGTGATCATCTTCATGGAGATGAAGGTGGGAAATCTCCGCCATCATTGAAAAAGGGGTGTGGTTTTTGTTTAACGGTGAAGGCTTCTGCATTGTGTGTGAGCGTAGGATATTCAGGTAAGCAAAAAAACGTTTTTCTCCGGTCCCTTTAAAAAGAAATCCGTTTCAATAATTTTTCTTTCAGAGACTGGTTTTTGATATGGAACGTGTGTCTTAAAAAGAAATTTTAAAGAATACATGAACAATCAAATAATGATTTTTTTTTTCGTAGAGATGTTTCATAATTCTTCAAATGCCACATCACGAAATATATTCACGTTAAAACGGTAAATACAATGTGTGAATTAGGTTGACTCGAAAGATTTTGTGTAAATATTTCTTTAAAAAAATAGTTATATAAATATTATTGAAAATTATATCATAATATAATAATACAAGTTGCTGAATAAAACAAACTTAAAGTTTGAGCCGCTAAAAAGTGGTCCAGTCCAAATTAATCTAAAATATACACGAAATTTCCAACCCGTCGACCTAAATTTTAAGGATCGGCTAAAGTAGGGATGAGCGTGGGACGGAACCAGTACCGATCCGTCCCGTTTCCGATTTTCCGAATACCAAATTTGATTGAAAGTTAATTCAGAGTACTGAACGAAATGAACATCACCGGTACCGGTACCGGGAATGGTATCGGTACTCAGTACTAGTACCGGTACCGGCTTTATCGATTCCTGAATTTCATGTATTTGGAGTACCAAGTACCATCCCGTATTTTTAAATTTGGTACGGTTCGGTACCGATTCTGGTACGGTACCGGTACGGGATCGAGATCGGGATTTGGGACAAACTATTCATCCCTAGGCTAAAGGACATTTCATTTGGCTATTTAAAAAATTATTATTAATTAGACAATCCAATAATCTCTGATTATATATAGTTTAATTTTGACTTCCCTTTGTGAACAAGACTTGTTATTATTGGTGGAGATTTTTTTTCTTTACTTTTTGATAATTATATATGTTTATCTGTATATTGTAGTGGATAGTGGATTACACGTGCAACATCTTTCTTTATTGTCTACGTGGCTACGTGGTGTCTGTTCTGTATTTTTCGAGGCAGTCCCACTGACCAGGGTTTTCACCACCACCGCTTCATCTATCTATTCTTATACTTTAGATTGATCTTCTTAGTTAAACCTGGTCACTGCCTTTTTCTCACTTCCTCTCAATTATACCTGGTGTTGGCTCTCTGTTTCACACTCAACACTCAGGCCTTTCTTCGCTCCCTCCACCGCCACCTTTCTCTCAACCGTCGTCTTCCAAGCCAACAATATTTGCCCCTCTGACTCCCTCGACGTATCGCATCGGTTCATCGTCTGCACTGCTGCTGCATCTTCGTTCCATACCCTGGGTATGTGGAACCAATTTTATAGGGTATGTCAAACTGTACCTTCAATTTTATTTGACAGCCGTCTTCCGACCAACAATCTTTGCCCCTCCGACTCCCTCAATTAATCACATTGGTTCATCATCTCCACTGTTGTTGTATCTTCGTTCCATACCCGAGGTATGTGGAACCGATTTTATTGGGTATGTCGAACCCTCCATTGCCATTCACCTCTTCAGTTCGAAGAACTTTCTAAATGGATTGGATGTCGTACCAGGAATCCAAAGTATTATTGTTTTTTATCTAATTTATGCCCTAATCCTCTTCGCTCCCATTTCTATCTGTAATCGATTTTGGCTCCACCCAGTTTGCCCATAATTACGAATTTCGTTGGAGGCATCGATTGTACCACAAAGGCTCAAATTCAGGTTTGATTAGACGAAATAGGAGGATGGCCACAGTAGAGAAGTAGTACTCACATCATCTGTGTGTCTGGTGGTTGTCGAGGCCAACAAAATTAATAACCCTAAATCTTTTACACTAAAATAGTGTATAGTGGTAAAGGGATCGTATCCACGAAGATTGGTTCAATTTAAATCTCTATTTAAATCTTTTTGTAAAATACTTGCAAAATAAAATTAAAAGTAAAAAAAAGGGGGGGGGGGGGAATGTTTAGTTCTTTCGATTGTTTAACAAAAATTAAAGTTAGCTAGAATAAAAATATGACAAGTAAACAAGTAAAAGATTGGATTAAATTCAAAGAAGTGGAATTGGTTGGTTTTGGGGTACACCTCATGGATGATATGATTGACTTATCATTAGACTTAATGGAATAACACTTATGAATTGGTTTAACTTGGCTATAGCAATTTATAAGCACAAATTGCCTCAACTCTTCTTAGAAATTAAAATGGTTAGAGGAGCTCTTAACTCATTTCCTTAATTGAAGTCACAAAATCAATGAAGCATAAAATCTTGTGAAAATCAATTAGCTTTAAGTTGTAAGAGTTACCAAGTCCAAAAGATAATCAAATGCTTACATTATCATTATGAAGGAAATATTTCCATGGTCTAAATGAAATGAAAACAAAGATATAGACCATTTGTTGCTTACTAATTTGAAGATTCATTACTTAACCAAGAAATTTGTCAACAAATACAAGCATTCATTCATCCAAGCTCATGATCAAAGATAAATAAACACAACAAGATGTTTAACTAGAAAACATTCCCATAAACTTCAAGCACAATTTAATAATAAGTCTTCAAAGCAAATAATCATCCATGGGTTAAACCCTAATCAACCAAATGAAAGTTTAGCCAAGCATGACCAAGGTAAAAGAAAAACAATAAAGTTTAGGGGGTGTTTGGCTTAGCTTTTCAAACCCCAAAAGTTCTTTTTGGAAAAGTTACAAAAAGTCAGGATTTCCTGACTTTTCCAAAAAGTTGCTTTTCCTTATATAAAAACTTCAAAAGTAGCTTCTAAAACTAGTTTGCTAAACATCTTTTGCTTTTTTTTTTCTTTTCAAAAAGAACTTTTGGCTTTGAAAAGATAAGTCAAACACCCCCTTAGTGGTACCAAACATTGTCTTAGATGCAAGATGAAAGAAAATTACACTGGTCTTCCACAAATTCTTCTAAAGCTTCTTAAAGAGAATATAAGTAAGTTTTTTTACTTTCATTTTGTTTTCTCCATCATATTTGGAATTTAAAGTTACTGTGATACACATTATTGAAAAAGATACATTTACTTTCAATTTTGTTTTTTAAAATCATCTTACTTTCTGAAATTTTGCAGAAAAAGGAATTATGGATTCAATGTAGGATTTGATCTTGAGTTTATTTATCAAGAAATTGAAGTAGAAATCTATTGAGTCAAGTAGGATGCGTTTCAATAAACAAATAAGAACAATTGCTAAGGTTTTTACTAATTTTGAAAGCGAAATAGCAACAGATACACATACTTTCGGATATATATATATATATATATATATATATATATATATATATATATATTATACCTTAATATACATATTTGGTCAAAGGCTGAAATTTAAGAGGTACAACCCTTAATGGATGATATACAACAACTTTAAGCATTCCAAAAAGATCAGATCTTATGTGGTCAATCATTGAAGAAGTCAAGAGAATGAGTTCAATTTACTAACCGTAAGCAATTTTTTTGGCACATATTTCGGCTTTTGATCTTGTCATTCTCATTTGAATTCATCAGCTGGCCACTTACAAAAATCCTATGCTCACGATTTCCATCACAACAATCGCATATCTCACCCAAATTTGTTTTCTAGAAACCGAACTACAAGATTTTACATCCACCAACAATCACCACTCTTACGTTGTTGCTAAACCGGCTGCCTTCATCCACCCATTGTCTGGTAAACCTACCACCACTATCATTTTTTCATACCACTCATTACCACCATCTCCACCGCCAGCAAATCACAACACTATCATGTGTATAGGAATGACAATGGGGCGGGTTCGGAGCGGGTCATGGTTTCCCAAACCCGCCCGATATCTTTCGGGTATCTTATCGGGGCGCCCCGTTGGGTTTGGGTTTTCCCGTCGGGTTTCGGGTATCTTATCGGGTTTACAATAATTCATAACGAAATCCTTATTCCGTTTAAGGGTACCCCGATGTCTTAAAAAAAATACATGTTCTACCCCCCATTTTAAATTAAAAATATGATGAATCACTTTAATAAAATTAACTCGACGTTATACTAAAACTTATTTGATTTAAGTTTAATGTAATACGTCAAAACATAAAAAAGACCATTCACACCGAATTGTTAATTAATTAAAAAGATTGTCCACAATAAGTATTTTATCTTTGAATGTGTGCAATTAATATATATATATATATATATATATATATATATATATATATATATATATATATATATATATATATATATATATAATCGGGGCAGGGCGAGGATAACCCACTTCCTGCCCCGAACCCGATAAAAAACCCGATAGCGACCCGTTACCCGACCCAAAATAATCGGGTTTCGGGTTTCCCCGTTGGGTTCGGGTTTTTTTGCCATCCCTACATCTGTATTTCCCCTGAACTTTTCCATTTCACTACTTTAAAGAAACCCTTGAAAGTTTGCTCTAATGCCATCATGAGTTCATATTCGTTGATGACTAACGGCATCGCCACCTATTGCGATCTACCGTCTTCCCCCACCGGCCTACCCCTCATCTCAAACTTTCATCTAAAATTTTGAATTTAATAAACCCACACTCCACTGTCACTACCACCACCACTCAGTTCGCCGTCATCATCTCATATGTCGACCCTTCGTTCCCGTTACCACCTCTGTTGGTTGGTCTAATTCCACTCCCCGGTGGTCAGTGTTTCATTCGCCATCCCTGTAAATGTACATATAAACCTTCACACCTTCTCTTCAATAACCTAAATCCCTCATTTAAAAAAATCTCACTTCAGAACCTTTGTTCAAATGATTCTTGAAACTGTGAAGATTTAAACATGTACTCATCACTCTTTATACCTATTTAGAGGTAAGCATCGTATCTATCTATTGTTTTTGATATTCTGGTAAAACAATGATCAGATGACTACCAGATTTATTAATCAATTTCACCATATACTGTGTTGAATTTATGTTTTTCTTAGTATAAGCTACCACAATTTTAGAACCAGCATCGATTCCAAGCGCTAATTTTCACCCTCCATTCTGATTTGAAGATAAGCAACGACTCTATCATTCTTTTGGACCCTTCCGATGTATCTTTTATATTTATTAATCTAGGGTTTTTATTTGTTTTTATTATGTGTTGTTGCATTTCTAATTGTTTTGATTTCCGTCTCAATGATCATTTTACATGGATTTGGTGCATTTTATCCAGTAGGTGGAAAATCAATGATATGTTAAAAGTTTTGTAAATAGCCAGGTCTAATGATCCTCCCATCAATAATGAAGTTCAGGTTTTGGATCTGATTCTAGCCACCATGACCTTCAAACCCACTCACCACAGTTGTGTATGATAGTGTTTGTGTTCTTGAAGATGGTATTTTGTATGATAGTGTTTGGATCTTCCCAAGGAGGTAATGATAATATCATACCCTTTTAGAATGGCTGTGAAACTTCACTTGAGTTTTACACAATCAAAACTGATTGGAGCCTTTGTGGTAATTAAAAGAAATGTTTTGAACAATTATGCATTATTAGATCTGTTTAATCTAAATAAATGTTTTTTTGTATATAAACATAGTGACAATTACAAATACAGGTCTGGTAAAGCATTAGGGATTCATGTTACTCAAACATTCTCATGTCAATCCTCATAACGGACATAGGAAGGTTGTTCTACTGCCCACAAGGGAACCTGCTATTCAAATACAAGCTGAATCCATCTATTTTTTTTTCTACTTCTACATATGGTTATTTTAATGTTTGTTAATGTTGTTGTTGTTCAGTGTTTGTATGGTGGTCCTCCAAAGGGTCCACAATTAAAGGAATTGCAACGAGGAGAAGGCATTGTTGGGGCTACTCCTGCAGGTAGACTTAACGACATTCTTGAACTCAGGAAGGTTGACTTTCTTCATTTCGCACTCTTTATGGTATGCTTGATATGGGTTTTGAATCTCAAATAAGGAAGATTGTAGATGAAATAGCCCGCCCCTAGCAAACAAACTCTCATGTAAACCACGACCACTTGGCCAAATGAAATTAAAAAAATTGTGGGTGATCTTCTTATCAACATTGTTCAGGCCAACATAGGCAATGAAGTTGAGCTTGCTGCAAACAGGTTCATTACACAGGATTTGTCTGCATGGCTCGAACATGGAATAACTAAAGCTTGAGCTGGAGTCGGAGCTGAACCTGATGCTGAATTTTATGACCAATTTAGCCTTTGTAGTCCCTCCTTTACATGATTAAATGATATTTTTATGAAGTAAGTTTATTTTACCCTCAATGACCATTTTATCCTTTATAATCAAATCTTCTAAAACTTTCCTCTTCATATACGCATTGTACCTTCAAAACATGCAAATATGCCTATATTTAACTCTTTATGAATTGCTTTTTAGATTGTTTTGTACTTGAAATGATAATAATAGTCGGATTTGTTTGTAATATAGTGACCGTATGTAAAATAAACTTACCTTTGTAGTCCCTCCTTTACATGATTAAATGATATTTTTATAAAGTAAGTTTATTTTACCCTTAATGAC